CCTCTCATGTTCAGGTGTCCTAATTTATGAAAAAGATATGTAAAAGAAGCATGGCAATCATCCTTAAAATAGCTTCAAAACTAAAAAGCTTTTAGATGTTCACAGTATCTTCAAATGTATGGATCAGATGTACCTTTCCTTATTGACCAAGACATTTCAAAATTAAGCAACTTGAATAGCTGATGTCATATAAAATCAAACTAGATAAAGATAACAGTATAATCCCTACCCTGCCAACCAGGAAGAGAAACATTATTAAAGAAAAGAAGTAGATGGGCACAAATAAGAACCTTTGTAGAGTTTAGAATGTTGATAGCAGAGATAAGAGAGTTAAAGAGATTGATTATCAGCTAAAATATACGATATTTTCCACAGCATGTTCTATTGTGTACAAGTACTGTACACGACCAATCAGCAAACATCTGTATTCCGGGATATTTAAGGATCCTTTGGATACGAAACACAAAATCTTCAAAAATAGACTGAATCATAAATGTTATGTTTCATGTTTAAAATTGGAATATAGTTAACCCCTGAATAAGTATTATATTCAACAAGTTGCCGTGAGATGGCACTCTAAAAACCTATCGTAAAAACGTAGCATGTCGTGCCGGGTGAACTTAGGCCTACGTAGCCCACCCTGTTAAAGGAGATAAGCAGTCTGTGTAGTCTGTGGTTGATAGAGTCTATGTGTATACTGTCCAGTATACTGGCAGCGGCTCGGCTACATTTTGCCTAGTCACAATTTGCCTAGTCACATTTTGCCTAGTCACAACTTGCCTAGTTTACTTTTGCCTAGGTAACATTTTGCCTAGGTAACTTTTTGCCTAGTTCAAATTTGCCTAGTAAAGTTTTGCCTAGGGTAACATTTTGCCTAGGTAACGCAAGAGCATGTTTTTTGCCTATATTGTTTTTTATGACAAATTTTGTCAAAAATTCAACATTTTTTTTTAAGCTTAACCAGTTCAATTTTATTGAATTAAATGTTATAGGACAATTGAATTGTTACCTAAGCAAAATGTGACTAGGCAAGTTGTAACTAAGCAAAATGTGACTAGGCAAAATGTGACTAGGCAAATTGTGACTAGGCAAAATGTAGCTGAGCCCTGGCAGCTATAATTTTTAACACCGGGTCGCAGATGTCCAAAAACAACTGCTAAATCATTTCCAAATACGATTTTGTTTTGCATAGATTAGTTTTATTTTAACCAATATTTTATAAATTTGAATTCACAAGATGTTATTGCCTATATTAAGAGCTCTAGAATTCTATATGTAAATGGGAACCTTTTGTTATGTACACCCTTGATATTATATATTATATATTAAGTGTTCTTTACATATATCAAATAAAGACATTTAGAGCTAAAGCAGAACCTAACATCAAATCATGATAATATAGATAATTAATTATTATACTCATATATTTAAATTATGATTTTAATTAGTTTAATGAATATAACAAGTAAAGAAATTTTGCAACATTCTCAAAACAATGAAGCTATAATTCTAAAAGGGCCATTTCGAAAGAAAAAAAATTGTGTAAAAAGGGTAAAAATGGAAAATTTCAAGGGCCTTAAATGTTGATTCCTATTCCACGCAGGAATTAGGAATAAAGGGAAGGGAAATGGCGCTGGTCTGACATGAGAAAGCCAGCCTTACTGCTTTGCAGACAAGTTCGGTATCACACACGCACACTCTTTTGGTACAGACACACAACATGACTACAGTCAAGGAAATTGCAGAACAATGTTGTCAATTATAATTAAGCTTGAATAACGAGTATTTTATTGTAAACTTTAATCAAATTATATTCTTTGCATGAAATTTTGGCTTATAGTGTTGACTTAAATATATAAATAATATGCTACATGTATATTAAACTTATTTTTAAGTAAACAATTAATAATAAACAAATGTACTCTCCTAGACTGTACAAATACCGATATTCGTATTACACACACTCTTTTGCTACATACACACATTCATGACGTTTCCGCCCCATGATTTCACGGTTTTGTGGGTCTTGCAGATATATTTGCTATAAAAAGTTTGCTATCTTGCTCCTTAACAATAATCATCCTGGTTTAAAGATCTCTCCCTTTGCTTCAGGGTGTCCCAAAAACATGGGAATTCAGTGACAAATTCGATATTGTCTTTGTTATGATTTAGCATTTTAATACCTAATTTCAAAACCCATTTTATTATTCTGTCTGCTAGAGTTTATCTTATGAAAAGGGTAAAAGACTGCAAAGATTGTCTATAATGTCTCTGCAAGATGAACAGTGAAGACGGACAAGTTTACTCTGTTTGAATACTACAATTTTCTTGTTTTACTAAGTACATCCCCAGTGGCGCAACTAGGCCTTTTCTGAGGGGGGGGCGAAATCTGAAAGTTNAAAATGTGAACATAGCAGACGAAACTCTTACAGATTACAGCTTTCTCAGTAGGTATCACTTTACTAAATCAAAGAATTATTTAAAAAGACGATATCTAATTCGTCACTGAATTCTCATGTTTATTGGTACACCCTGTATGTTAGAGATATATATAACGTTATGTGTAAATTGATTTTAATAAATACTGTAGTCACAATCAGTTATATTATTTTGATACTTTTCGTTCCAAATGTCACGAAAGGAATTAAAAAGTCTATTTAACGGTTTATTGGAAGACATTATATTAAAAAAATAATATGAAAAATAAAACTATAACAAATGTCAATTACAAATTTTATATAAACAATAACATCAGATAAAATATATATTGCTTTTTTGTAAAAACTTGCAAACTAAACGAAAACAAATTCCTTTGGATCAGAGCAATTGATTGAATGCTAAGTTTCAAGTTTATAAAAAGTTGTTTGACTGGAGAATTCTATGATAAAATCATGTCTCTTATTTTTTTATAATTCAAGATTTTTGGGACACAAAAATCTGTAAGTATGGATAAATGATAAAATAACATGAATCATAAAGCAAACTGTCATGGCCAAGAAGAAACTTAACCCCCCCCCCTCCCATCTTTTTAAAGAGAATGACTCAAGAAAATGCCAGTTTTAACCACACATAAAGAGCTCCTTTGATCCAAAAAAAATGTTTAATTCAATTAACTTTTTGCATTGCAATAAATACATCTTATTGAGACTGCCGTCGCTATATTTAAAACGATATTCTATGTCAGATTTTAAACAAACAATGCCTTCTTATTCAGGTAGAAAAATAAGAATATACCGTTGTGAATTGAACATGGTGCACAATAGTAAAAAATTTACTCAATTGAAATTCACGTGCAAAATGTTTAATATAACTTTAAAATATAAATCATCAACATTTTTTATAGTTTGTACAAAAAAAGCTCATTGACAGTATAGGTATGTCATTACAGGATTATTTTTTCCCATAACCCTATGACGATTAAGGGAGGGGATGTTTTCCGACCCCCCCCCTGTGGTTTCTTTTGAATAACTTAAAAATGGCTTACATTAGATTTTAGAATTTTTTTTGTGCATAGGGTAGGGTGGAGAATCGTCAAACGGCGGGTCAGTGTTTAAAAAATCCGAAATGTTAAATCACTTTTTAATTGATTAAGCTACAGAGTTAAGACTTAGAAATTTGTAAAGGCCTTTAAAAATGGCTATTCCTGAGGCCGAATTTAATGAATTTGATACACTTCGCTGAACCGCTAATATTACCGGTTCAAATTGAGCACTGTCTCAAATCTCGAAACACAAAAACAAAACTTCAAATTGAATTTCTTTATAATCAGCCTCTCTATATGCATGTAAACTTTGATATTTCAAACTTAGATTATTTGATCTAATATAATATACGAGCACATAGTTAACATAAAAGGTCCTCATTCAGGGATTCACAGACATAGAGAAATAAGACGTTGTGACAAGAACTAAATTCCTTTGCTACTTTTGTAAAAAAATTTAAAACATTTACAAATTACGATTTCCAACTTATAGTTCTCCAGATTTATTTGCTTCTGTATATGTCTTACAGAATATTTTGCTTTTAAGAATGCAATACTTTAAACCTTTATGAAACTATTGTGTACTTTATCATTATTACTCACTTTTTCGTCAATTTCATAGTGAACGTGCTATAAAGTAATCATCGTGAATCATCGTGCTTAAAAGTTAAATTAGCTGTGCTATAAAGTTTTGATTGTTTCCCGGATTTTCTCAAAAATTGTTTGGATATTTCCAAAATATTTTTTAAATTGAAATGAAAATAAAATTGAAATTAACTTTATATTTTGAGTTCTGCTTTGTTTCAAAGCTTATTTGATCTAGAAATAGCCATTGAAATAAGACAAGTACACAAACGTTTCATAAAATTACCTATAACACTTTTATTTTTACAACACGTTTTATTCAGTTTTTGAACTTATATTGTCTCTATATCTCGAAGGTTCCCGCCTTTTTAGACTATATTTTGTCCCTTGCTAATGCTTGGGACATATCTAAAAAGGATTGAACCTTTTCGATAAAGCGTAAATTGTTGTCCAAAAACTTTATTACACTGCAAACCAAGATAACAGTGTTATAAATAGTTTTAAGAGATTAAGGACGGAACCTGTTCTAACCAAACTATAGCTAGGAATAAATTTAATCTTTTAAAGCAACACGAAATTTCTTACGACATGCTAACACAATTTAGAAAACGATTTTCGGAAGGATTATTCTGTCAGGAACGGATTGAAAAATTGTTCTTAAATTATTTTTAGCATGTCACACTTACTTTTGTATAGTTTCTGTAGTTTTGTCAAGAGGAAGTTCCATTTTAAATTTTCAGAATTTTTCAAAAAAGTTTTGCATTTTAACCAGCCATGTCCATGAAACATTTCCGTTACGGAATTCTTCCGAATGCTATGAGTACATCACGGTATTACACAACGAAATAAAACGGGCAATGAATGGTGTAAGTTTAGATAAATAAAGGTGATAAAAAGTAACTTTTTTATGTAAAACAAATTTTTGCATTTTAACCAGCCATGTCCATGAAACATTTCCGTTACGGAATTCTTCCGAATGCTATGAGTACATCACGGTATTACACAACGAAATAAATACGGGCAATGAATGGTGTAAGTTTAGATAAATAAAGGTGATTAAAAGTAACTTTTTTATGTAAAACAAACGAATTAAAGTTTTTATAAAGTTGAAAAACAAAGTTTCTTATTTGATCACTTAGAATAAACTTTTTGCAATTTAACCGTGAGTGGTAGAAAATACAAGAAATCTACCCTTTCAAGAGTTTCAAAATTTAAATAACATTTCATTTTAAAAGTGCCTTAAACGATTAACAATTGCACTATTTAAATTCTTTTATGTTAAAATACGATATTGTGGTTTCTAGAAAACGGTTTGTGGAATAAAATACATCAAAAAAGATATTAATGGTAAAAATTTTATTTTTTCAAATAAAAAGTTGTAAGCGGTTCCAAAATTAAAAGTCAAAATGGTTTTTTTGTTTGGGGTCAGATGAAATTACGTGATGATTTACAATTTCATCAAAATTTTAAAATTTAAAGAGTATTTAATATATAATTTACAGTGTACAAACAGTAAACCCTGTACGGAATGCACACTGTAAAAAATGTATTTACAATTTCAAACTTAACGTGACTGTGATTGCATTATTCTTTTCCTCACATTGATTTAAGTATTTTATCTAATAAAATATTCTTTTTGTAAGAAGGTTACCACTGCACTGTATTATTTGCTGAGTTTTTAGGACATCATCAAAAACAGTAAAATGTGTTTTGCTAGTTTGGTAGTGAGGTTTAGTGAGGACGGACTCACGTTGATCCCGACTAACTTAGATGAGCACATTATGTCCTCCCTGACTACATTACAAATTTAACCTGTTTTTGGATGTATCTACTTTTGTAAACCTTGAGTAAAAAATTTAAATCTTTTTCAGAAGATTCAATTTTTTGTCGTTATCTACAAGTGAAGATAGATTTTATTTCCTTGATTAAATCTTTCTTCTAGGATTATTTTCTTTTGAGAACCAGGACGAGGGTTGGTTTCAGAATATTCCAAGATATGATTCAACCTGGTAGAGTTCTCTGTACTCCCGGAGCTCTCTGAACCAGGACGAGGGTTGGTTTCAGAATATTCCAAGACATGATTCAACCTGGTAGAGTTCTCTTTAATCCCGGAGCTCTCTGAGCTATGATTTTGCAGTTCCTCTAGCTCCGTGTATACTACTTCAGCTGGACAGAGGAGTTGATCCACGGATTCTAATTGTATTGGGAGAAGGCGGGTAGAGTTGAACTCATCTCCATCTGAAACCAGTGGCCGAATTTAATGAATTTGAGCGGCGGTTTAAATTTAAGCTGCGGTTTAAATATGGTTGGTTCCACTTAAAATTGTATCAAATGTTTCAAGATTTAAGCCGGCGCTTAATTTAAACCGGGTTTTGGTGGATTTAAACCGCGGCTTAAATTCTTTAAATTCCATCTCAGGTTGAATAATAAGTTAAGTGACTCTCGATGCGCTCCAATGTACGGAAAATGTCGTCTCCTAAGATAGATAGATAAAAATATAATATAACTTCACTGATTTTACAGGCTATTTATATAAGGAGACGACATTTTCCGTACATTAGCATCTACTACTGATAAAGGATAAGTATGATCCTTGATCATGATGTTTACCTACGTTTAGTAGATGATTAGCATCTACTACTGATATTGGAGAGGTATATGATCCTTGATCATGATTTAGATCAAGCTCAAAACTACCATCTGATCTAAACTCCTAAAAAAACATTTTTCATAATTTAAAACGTAAAAATTGGAAAAGAATATGGTAACAAATCCTTCGTTAACGAGATTTTCCGTTTATTCTTAAAGTTACCGTTCGTCATTTTATACCGTTCATTTTTAATGATTAGGTATTTTTGGGTCGTTATAGATTTCAAAAGTAATTGTTTTTGCCATTTTTTAACGAAATGTACTATATATATTTTCAAACAGGGGGGGGGGGTACTATACCTCTAAATCTGTGATTTCTTTTGGAAGTGGAAATACAATCTCTGCTGGTAGATGGTCTAGCTCTATATGTTGAATATTTGAACGGAGTGAGGATTGCATGGAAGGAAGAGATGATGAATGAGTTGTTGAATGTATGGAGGGTAGGACGGAGGAGGAGGAGTGGTAGGACGGATATGTGCTCAGGGTGGGACGAACAGTAGGGACGGTTTGAAGAGAAGCTTTTCTCTTGTAAACTCCGGGTTTTCGTCTCACTACTATTTTTCTCTTTCGTCCGTCCTAACAAATTTCAATCCTACTTTCTTGATAAGGTGAGGGGATGAAGTAAATTATCGTGCCGGAAGTAAAGTTTGAAAAAGGAAATAAACTGATGAGGCTTAGTATTAAAAAGTATTATATTTTTAGATATTTTTATCATAAAAAATTCTTCTTTATTTCAGGGGGTTAGAAGGATGTTGTTCTTGTGATTGTAATCTTCAGACAAGATGGGGTGGGGGGGGGATATAAATTTTTTGTGTGTGGTGGTTTAAAGATTGCTTCCCTGGTTCTGTGATTGTCATAAGACAGGATCTATGCTATCTGAAGTTTCGACAGAGGAGCATCTAAAATAGTTGTTTTTTATTACCAAAATTCTGTAAAATTTAGGGAGGGGGATTACATTTAAAAGCGCAATTTTACAAATGTGAGGGTACATCTTGGCGTAACATGTCATAAATGCAGTTGAAATCAACACGGAATTACAGGAATCCTCTTATGAACGATAAGATTGCCTGCCTGGCAGCAATTCATTCAAAGGTTGTTCATTTACTCAATACCCCTTGAGCCTTGAGGTAGTATTACGCGTTTTGGATCATAAGTCTTTTAATAAAACTACCAAGATTTCAGAACTGTTTAGGTTTGCTTTAATTAAACTTTGCAATATTTTGCATCATTTTTTGCATTAAATTGGCACAGTGTAAAAAAACCAAATGTTTAGCATTAAAAGTTTGCTGTTCTTACACTATACTGAATTTTGAACTTAACAAAAAATATATGCAAAATAAAAACCAAAAACGACTCAACCTAATGCACATCACTACCTGGAGGAATTTGAAGAGGAAGAGGAGGAGAAGGTTTGAAAGTTTGGAGATGAAAGCATTGGATCTTGATTCATCAGAGTATCATCCTCATCATCCAGCATATCCAGGTTCAGATCCTGCTCATCATCCAGCATATCCAGGTTCAGATCCTGCTCATCCTTCTCATCATTCTTCATCTCATCCACCTCACTGCTCCTCTAAACAAGTTAACTCATTCACGAGATTTGTAATTATTATAAAGAAAATGAGTTTATTCCAAAAACTCTAAATTTCTATCCCTTATATCTTTGCAACCCGATGTCGTAGATCTTTTATATTTCAAACAATTAGATCAAATAGTTTCAGTTTGAAATTTCAAAGGTGTACACCATTAGGTTGCAATGATGAAGGAATTAGAAAATTTGAGTTTGGGTCAGTTCCTTTATATTCTGATTACATTTCTGCAAACTATAGTTGTGACCTCGTAGCTTATAAGTTTTCAATCTTACGTGAAATTTACTTTATATTGCCGTGACACAGCTCCAGAATGAAATATTTTTTTTTCTATTATATCTAATATCTTCTTCTTATGCTTCTCTCTATAAACTATTCAATTTTGCTTAATCTACAAAAGTAGCTGCAGCAGATTTAGAAAAAAACAGCAAAATTTAAGAAAGAAAAACGACAATATCTTCGTCATTGTTACTCAGACAAAGGTTTAAAGGGTATCATTGTGAATCAGAAAAAAAATATTCAAAATTACATTAACAACCTCGTTAAAGAGTTTTTGCACAACTTTAGTCATTAAACTTTTTTTAAAAAGGCAGTTACAATTGTAACATTAATCTAACAAGAATTGAATACATTTTCAGATATTATTTAAAGATTTATTTCTGCTCGTAAAAGTGAAGTTTTAAGAATATATATTTAAATTTACTCTTATACCTCTGTATATTGTAAAGAACACATTTAAATATTATATTGAATAAAAGGTATGAATGTATATTAAATATGTTGAAAATATGTAAATAAAATGACTTCATAAATTTTCTAAATATACTGAAGAATGAAAAGCCTTGAGTTAAGAACTGTCAGAAGATTTATTTCCTAAAAATAAGAAAAAAGAGAGAAAATTATCTGCAAAAAGAGAAAAATTATCTCCAAGAAGAGAAAAATTGCACAAATTGGATTTGTGCACTGGCTTCACAAGTTGAAGTAGAAATAAAAACTTTTCTCAAGAATTAACCTCCCCAAGTCCCAACTCTGTCCAACATCTTTCCACCAAAGGAATTGAGTTTTTGCCACAAATCCCAATTTTATAATACCTAAATCTCTACAACCAGATGATGCAAACCTTTCATATTTCAAACTTACATTATTTGATCCACCAGAATTCATAGTTTGAAATATGAACGGTCTACGACATTTGGTTTTAAAGAAATTGGGATTTAAAAATCCGAGTTTGTGGCAAAAACTCAATTCCTTTATCTTATTTAGCGAATGCTTTAATATGTGTGTCACATAACGCTTTTGTTGGAGGCTAATTTTTGACATTTAGATCATCCATAATCTTTCCGGAGGTCATGTGAGGTCCCACACAAAATTTGGGCCCACAGCTAGCTTCAGCCGTTTTGACGTTTATTGTATATAAACAGACAAGCAAAGTATCTATATATATATTTACATGATGGAAGAAACCACATTATGGATCAGATTAAAGTTGTAAGGGCATTGCCATCTTTGCATGGAATTGAAGATCATTTGAAACTACACTTACAGTCCCTTTAATGTATAACTTCTGGGTCGGCCTTACACTCCCTTTAATGTAGAACTCCTGGGCCGGGCTTACACTCCCTTTAATGTAGAACCCCTGGGCCGGGCTTACACTCCCTTTAATGTAGAACCCCTGGGCCGGGCTTACACTCCCTTTAATGTAGAACCCGTGGACCGGGCTTACGCTCCATTTAATATAGAACCAATGGGCCGGGCTTTGCCTATATGCATGTTGTAGCTGAATATAATCTTTTTCGGAAATATTTATTCACAGTTTTTTTTCGAGTGTACTTCTTCAACTTTTGATTGAGGGTATAATAAACGTATTAATCATGATTGCAAAACTTTAACATTGATATGTCTACATATATATTATATATATATTATCCAGATATATATGTCATGATTTACAATAATTTATAATATTTGTTGCCCCTTCTTCCTGTTCAGAACGATACCGTCAATTGAAATGTTTTTAACCCCACTTTATCATCCCGGTTGGTTTTGTGCCGGGATTATAATAACTATTTATAACCCTACTGGTTGAAAGGAGGCGAGGTATAAAGTATTTGTTTTTGGCGAAAATACTTTACGAGCCCCCTTCAATCAGTTGGGTTTTAGATAATTTTATGCCCTGGAAAATATAAAGAAATATGAATTTAAATTAACACTATTAAAATAAATAAATACACAAAAATGGCACGTCAATTATATAACATCTAATATAAAGTTTAAACTTTTAAAAAGTACATATTAAAGAAAATCCCAAATATTAATGCATGAAGATGATTATTCAAAAGAATGCAAACTTCATAGCAAAAAATGCGGAAATATTGAAAGGTGTACTCATGTACTCAGCTGGGGTGATATTTTACTTTTAAACCCATGAGAAAATAGTAAAAATTTTACCCCAGCTCAGCTGGGAATATATGGGTTTCAGGATATGTTCACCATAGATTAAAAAGAGGCCACCCAGGGCATAAAGTTTTTTTTGTAGTTTAGAAACATGACAAAGAAATGGTTATCAGTGTTATTCAAAAGGGAAGTATAATGGATTTTATCAAGGGAGAACCTATAAAATTTACAGTGAGGGGGGGGAAGGGTAGTTTCCATACTCCCCCCCCCTTTACTACCAACCGTGATTTTGTTTAAAACTTTGCCGTTAAAAAGTTCAAAATCGCCAGAAAAAAATTGATCTGACCCCAACAGGCACCAAGGTCCCCCTCCCACTGCTACCCTGTAAAAGTACTAAAGATGGCCGCCCTCCTTCTACTTGAAAAATTCCCATATACGCCTCTGCCCTCTCAAACTAACAGCAGTCCTTTTAATTAAATTACTTGTACCTGGTTCAGTTGAATAAGATTCTATTGGTATTCCATAAGTTCTCATTCTCTCCTCGTATTCCTAAATTGTAACACAATTTAATTGGCCTGGTAGCATAACTTTAAGTGTTTAAAGGGACTGTAAGCGTAATATCAAGTGACCCTTCATGAAATGTCCAATATTACAATGGTGTCCAATTGAATCCTTTGACTGTTCATCGAGTAGAAAGATATCTCTGTTTAAACATGTCTGAACCTCCTTGAATTCTTCTCAAATGCGGCCTGTACAAACAGTACAATATATGTGTTCAGAGTAACCTGAACGTGTCTGATCTCTTACTTAACTTATGTAACTCAAAGTTGTTGTACATTAAAAGCGGTTTTCAAGCACTCAAACATAAATATTTTTTTCTGCAACTTTTGGAACGTAGATAGGGACCATTGTAAATTACATTGTATATTGTTCATCTAGCTAAATGTGTCCAATAGTAAATACGTAAATCATGTATTGCGAATAACCCATTCAATGTAACTCTGTCATACCCATATTGTAATTGCTTAACTATGTTATATATAACATCAACAAGCTTGTAATTACCCTGTTAAGGAATCAATTCTAATCTAAACGGAAGAAATATACCTTAGTTAATATAGAAACTCTGTACTGTTTACTGCAAGAGAGTAATCTTTCCCTGTTTTGATATAGTTAAGGATCGTCCCCGTTGATTTAGGATTGATAGTTACTAGCATCTGATTGATATTGATAGCTAACGAGATTGCTCCCAGTGGTAGTGGTGTTGATAGATCATGACTTGTATTCTTGTAGTTTCCTGTTCTGCTAAACAGTGTCCCCTTTAATTTGGGATTGATAGTTGCGAGCTTCCGATTGATATTGATAGCTAACGAGATTGCGTCCAGTGGTAGTGGTACATCACGGATTGTATTCACGTGGTGACATTGAGTCAAGAGATTCTGAGTTGTACCTGGATAGATACGTTCCCAGAAATTGTTATGGAGTAGGCATTTACTATAGCTATTACAGTGCTGTTGCCGTTGTGAATCAGGGATGCTACTCTTTAAATGGAAGGTCACTTGAAGTAATGCTTACATTCCCTTTATTTTACATATTTTCGGATATATTGAATTTTGTACACGTTAAAAATATTGGATAACCCAATATTGTTGTTATATAATGTAATGTTTTTAATATCTTTGATGTTTGATATTAAATATTTTCAGTTGAAAACCCTTATTTTGTTTGTGTTGGTAGAATTTTCTTTATTGGCGGATTATACACAACTTGTGTTAAGTAAAGTGGGGGGGGGGGGGGGTTTTTTTTAAACCGTTTTAATTAAAAGTTTTAATCCCAAAGAGGGGCGGTGGATAATTCAAGAAAAACTATGTTTGGCATAATTCAGCAGATGTACTTGCATTACTAGACACAGTCTTTGATTTTTTCCTCAATATTTGAATTCTATTTTTTACCAGTCGGCGTCTTCATATCTTTCAATGATAAAAATGCACAAAATTTAAAACAGACATCATATTACATCTCAACATTTATGACAAGACACTAATAAATTCAAAGATTTGAACAGATAAAATGTTAGAATTTTTTTCTCTTCTTTAAACTTTATCCTATTCCGCCATTAATTTCTCCATGACTTAAAACATTCGAACATTAAAACAATAATTCCTATTTAATTAAAGGGAATATAGGCGTAATCTCAAGCGATTCTTCATTTGTAGAGTTGAGGACAAACAACGCTACTCGTTCTACATTCAAGATTGCTCAAGATTGTCGAAATATTATTTTTAAAGATACGCTGTTAATTGTTGACCAATTTGTTTTCAAGCTGCTTTATTCTTAAATAATGTTAAAATATTCGTTAATTTCAGGAAACAAAAGTAACATATCATTTGTGATGAGTTCACACAGTACGCACCGTACACCAGGTTTTACAGGAATTCAACCTGTTTTCCAAAAATTTACACACGGAGATCTGTGTACTCGATAAACAGAACACGGTTTAAAGCGTACCTTTGTAAATCGGGCAATGCATGGAGGATCACTTGAAATTACTCTTTTTAAATCTGAATTCCATATGTTTACTTGACCTTATCTATAAGCCAGCTCAGAATTGACAAGGGCATACGAGTTTTACTGAGACAGTTTTAATGTTATTTAATTATAAGATTTGACATAAATGATCAATAAACTAGGATTTAGATTTACGAATAAAAAGTTAGGCACATTAACATTAATTTATTAATACGCAAAAAAGTCGTATTAAATTTAAAATTAGAAATAAATGGAAAAGTAAATGGATTTTACTTCCGCGCAATATGACAACAGTCGCATTTCCACACTGTTGCGCGCAATTCCGTGCAATGAAATACCGATTGGAAACCCTAATTAAAATAAGTCTTATTCTTAGGTATTTATGATTTGTTAGATAGTTAAATTTCAAAGACATTACATGTACACACAAAAATAGTCCTCTGTAATCACATCCCCCAACTGCAGTGTTGTGGAAAACTTCTTTCTTATTCATNAAAGAACACAAAACACACGAACATAAGAACACAAAATACGCAAACAAAAGAACACAAAACACGCGAACATAAGAACACAAAACAGTCAACATAAGAGCACAAAACATTAAAACATAAGAACACAAAACACACGAACATAAAAACACAAAACATGCAAACAAAAGAACACAAAACACACGAACATAAGAACACAAAATACGCAAACAAAAGAACACAAAACACGCGAACATAAGAACACAAAACAGTCAACATAAGAGCACAAAACATTAAAACATAAGAACACAAAACACACGAACATAAAAACACAAAACATGCAAACAAAAGAACACAAAACACACGAACATAAGAACACAAAATACGCAAACAAAAGAACACAAAACACAAGAACATAAGAACACAAAACAGTCAACATAAGAGCACAAAACATTCAAACATATGAACACAAAACACACGAACATAAAAACACAAAACATGCAAACAAAAGAATACAAAACACACGAACATAAGAACACAAAACACGCAAACAAAAGAACACAAAACACGCGAACATAAGAACACAAAACACGCAAACAAAAGAACACAAAACACGCGAACATACAGACACAAAACTTGCGAACATAGGAACAAAAAATATACGAGAATAAGAAAAAAAACATACGAACACAAAACACACGAACATACGAACTTAAGAACACAAAATATACGAATATAAGAACACAAAACGTACAACATAAGAACACAAAACGTACAACATAAAAGCACAAAACCATACGAACACCAAAAAAAAATTTAAAAATTTACTAATTTCGATTTCACAAAAAAAATCCTTGAAGTAATGTTTACCTGAATCCTTGAAGTAAAGTTTATCTGAATCCTTAAGTAATGTTTACCTGAATCCTTGAAGTAATGTTTACCTGAATCCATGAAGTAAAGTTTACCTGAATCCTTGAAGTAAAGTTTATCTGAATCCTTAAGTAATGTTTACCTGAATCCTTGAAGTAAAGTTTACCTGAATCCTTGAAGTAATGTTTACCTGAATCCTTGAAGTAATGTTTACCTGAATCCTTGAAGTAAAGTTCACCTGAATCCTTGAAGTAAAATTTACCTGAATCCTTGAAGTAATGTTTACCTGAATCCGTGAAGTAAAGTTTACCTGAATCCTTGAAGTAATGTTTACCTGAATCCTTTAAGTAAAGTCTACCTGAATCCTTTAAGTAAAGTTTACCTGAATCCTTGAAGTAATGTTTACCTGAATCCTTAAAGTAATGTTTACCTGAATCCTTAAAGTAAAATTTACCTGAATCCTTGAAGTAATGTTTACCTGAATCCGTGAAGTAAAGTTTACCTGAATCCTTGAAGTAATGTTTACCTGAATCCTTAATGTAATGTTTACCTGAATCCTTGAAGTAATGTTTACCTGAATCATTGAAGTTAAGTTTACCTGAATCCTTAAGTAATGTTTTCCTGAATCCTTGAAGTAATGTTTACCTGAATCCTTGAAGTAATGTTTACCTGAATCCTTGAAGTAAATTTTACCTGAATCCTTGAAGTAATGTTTACCTGAATCCTTGAAGTAATGTTTACCTGAATCCTTAAAGTAACGTTTACCTGAATCCTTGAGGTAAGTTTTCTGTTTCTGAATTGCTGAACACCGCAGAGTTTCTGTAGCTGAACTTTTGCCGCCTATCTCGTAGCAAAAATGTTGGAAAACTTTATTCGACTATCCAAAGGAATTGAGCCCTTGCCACAAAATTTATTTATAAAATCCCAATAACTTTGCGACCGGATGTTGTACACTTTTGATATTTCAAACTTAGATTATTTGAACTAACAGAATTCACATTTTGAAAGATTGAGTTGCAAAGATATAGGGAATGAAAAATCAGAGTTTTGTTAGAAAAAACATGTTTAAGTGATCTACATTATTTGTATTCATTGCTGCTCAAATGATTAAGAACAAATTTGTACTCGCCACAAACTCCATTTATTATTCTTATATCTTAAGTGTCCAAACGTTAGATATGTTAAGCCATGAATTCTGCCAGATGGGATTTACAAAATTAAATATCTAAGGTTCACAACATCATGTTGTAATGATATGGAAAGTTAAAGAGCTTGATACGAGTGTTAAGTTTTATTTTATAAATTTTTTTTGCTATGGTTTTGAAAATTATATTGAATCATCTAGATTATTTATGTTTGGAATATCGTTTTTTGGCATTATCTATATATAAAAACAAGACATTCATATATATGTTCCATCTGGCCGACCAAACAGCTGTTCCGAATGGGCTGACATTTTTTGTGGACACTCATGGGCTTAAAAATTAGAATTTCTTTACAATTTTTTTTTCAATTTTTTTTTCAACATTTTTTCTCACGGGCATACCGGGCCCTTTCAGCTAGTAATGAAAAAAAGAAAAAGTCGGAACTGAATACCACAAACTCGAATTTGATAACCCTAATATTTTTGCAAAATGATCTCATAAACCTTTGATATTTCAAATTATAAAATATGTTATATGAAATAGCCAAAGTTTAAAAGGTGTCAAAGATCAATGCAAGTTTATAATGATTTGTTCACGTTATCATAACAAAAAAATGTACAACACCTTGTTATAAAACGTACTGCAAACAATTGTAAACAAACATTCCAACATTCCTGATCCTGTTTAAGTAGTTTAATATACTCAACCGAAGCTCGAAGTATTGACCCCTTGTTCTGTCTCACATCCCGCACAACGTCGTAATACCTAAACATATAAATAAATCAAATAAAAAATATTTTTCATGGAACGAAATAGATTTTTTTCAGACACCCCCAACTAAAGGCATTAAGTCACACATTTCTAATTCCTTAATATTTGTAACCTGTTGGTGTACTGTGTACAGTGTACACCTTTAATATTTCAAACTTAGATTATTTGATTTAACAGAATTCAAAGTTGTAAATATTAAGGCCTAACGACTTTTGGTTGCAAAGATATAGTAATCAGATTATAGTTTGTTTCAAAGACTAAATTTCTTTGTTTGAAAGATAGAGAAGTATTTGAATAGCGTAGAATAAGTTGACTCATTGCTTTTGTGCTCTGGTTCAAGTGAAAAAGAAGTATTTGAATAGCGTAGACTAAGTTGAACCACTGCTTTTGTGCGCTGGTTCAAGTGAAAGAGAAGTATTTGAATAGCGTAGTCTAAGTTGACCCACTGCTTTTGTGATCTGTTTCAAGCGAAAAAGAAATGATTTAGCTTTTCATTAAATTTCCCCTGCTAATATTTCTTTCAGATCATTCTTATTGCTGATCTCTGAAGAAAAAAACTAAATATGATCAAATAAACTAATGCACAGACGCCCCCGGACTATTGTTTAATTATTAAAAAAAAAAATTAACTACTATTCGACTTTCTGCACCGTATATATTCATATGTCTGCTTTATTACTTTTTTTCATGGTAAAGAAATGATTTGTTAAGAGAGAATGGTTGTGCAAAAGCAACTAGTTACTGCTAGAAATTAGTTAGTTGTTCAGTTTCGGATTTTGGAAGAAGGTATTTTGAGAATTCTTCTAAAAAAAGTTATTTTTTATTATTGTCTGGAATATGTTCTCTTTAATCCCCTAAATGAACATATTTATTGCCAAGGGTTGGACAAAAAAGATGAACATTTGAGATTGTATTTGCACTTGATTATAATTAACTTGGAGTATGTACAAATATTTAAATCTATAATCAAGAGAATAAAACTTGGATTTTTTAATATCTCAACTAAGGTTTTTAGCGCCATTGTGAGTCCTGTAATTCTGCGCAATTCCGCGCAACGAAGATATGATTGGAAACCTTATTTGTAACTTGTGGCAACTTTCCGATTTTGTTATTTAGCCAAATTATTCAGGTCTTCAGTTGTTATGCAATATGCAACACAAAATGTTGGGGTACATTACTTTTAATCGGTCTTGAGCAAAAACAATCAGAAACTACTTGATAACAAACTGGAAACAGATTTATTGATATATCGTTTTAATTGTAAGACCTATCTCTATTTTGTACTTGTTTTATAAAGTCTGGTTCACATACAACCTATCTCTATTTTGTACTTGTTTTATAAAGTCTGGTTCACATAAAA